TAGTATTTCACTTTGGAAAAGTAAAGCTTAGTCATGTAGGACCTAAGAAATACCTAATCCTGATGGAGAGATTGAGAGACCCATGTTTTGATCACCAGTTTTATGGACATGTTATAGTTTTATGAGGATCACTGTTCATTTTTATCCATCCATCCATCCATCCATCCATCCATCCATCCATCCATCCATCCATCCATCCATCCCAGCCAATAGCTTATAAGATTGAACTGAGAGTGTTGGAGCATTCAAATGAATAAGACATATTCTATAACTCCAAGAAGCTTACATTCAAACTGGTGAAAGTCTTCAGGGAGGACATGGTATCTGAACTGGACATCAAAGAATGCGTGAAAAGTCCATGAAATGAAGAAGACAGGGAAGAGAGGATTCCCGAAAGAGAGAGCAACGTGCATAAAAGCAAAGAGGGGAGAGACAGATTGCCACTGAAGGGATGAAATATGCTCTCACTGGTCAGAACACAGGGTTCGTCAGCAGGAAGACTGGAGAAACCTCTCTGAATGGCTTGTCTTCATGGCTTATGTCAAGCTTTCTAACTGATGTGTTTGCTCAAAGTGAAGATTCTTAGGTTTCTGCTAAAATTTTGATTATGCACAGAGAACCCAGGAATTTTCCCTTTGAACAGGAGCACCAAGGAATTCTGAGAAAAGTTACAAGTGTATCCTATACAGCTTAAGGTTTCCAAAAGATTGTATTTAAGTCTACAAGTTCCCAAGGTCAAAGTAAGAAAACTAAAGTAATCCTCTCCTGAGAATTCATAAAGCACATTAACATGTTAAATGTCTTTCACTAAAGACAGCAGTTTTACACAGCATTTTTTCAAACTTACTTGATAACAGTGAGGGAGAAAAATCATAGTAAACTGGTAAAGGGGTCTTGGAACAATGGCGGGTACTCTGAAGCACAGGCTGACAAAAGCTGAAACAGAGGCTCAGAATCCGACAAGCTTGTCTCTCACACATAGTGAGGGGCTACGGAACAATCTACACAAGAAAACAAAATCCACTTCACGGGGAGGCAGGGGGGACACGAAGGTCCCTACCTATTTCTTCCAAGACAAAGCTAAAACCACCTACACTGTTGTCTGTCCTCAAGTCAGATTTGACCCACAGCTGATCCTGCAGTGGGTTTTCAGATATAGTAAACTGCATGGGAGGAGAGTGTCCATTCTTCTTCTCCTAGGAGAAGCTGATGGATTCAAACCCTGTGCCTTTGGGATTACAGTGCAGCTTCTTACCCCTAGGCCACCAGAGTTCCCTATGTAGTTCCCTTGAAGTTCGAGTTCTCAAGTAGACTGCCAGAAGCTTCTTTCCAAAGTAACACCCCATAGTTCTTCAAAGTTATTTTTGGCCACCTCCTCTGTGGGTTAACCACAGCTGCCAGAGAAAGCAGAAGTGTCTGGAGTTCAAAGCATCCAGAAGCAGAAACAGAGAAAGGATGAAGAGGAGACATTGTTGCCCACATTTATGTATTTATGTATCTTTATTTATCTACTCAACAGTCTGGAAACGGTCTTCACACACACACACACACACACACACACGCACGCGCGCACATGCGTATACCAAGTAAAATTATGCTGAAGATAACGGAAAAATACTTGCAGCAATACATTGACAGGAGACAGTGACAGAAGTTTCAACTAGTTTCAGAAGAGACCCAGTCTCTATCATTCTCATATCAGATCAAGCTTGGCTAAAAGCAGAGAATATCAGAAAGATGTTTACGTGTATTTCACTGACTATGCAAATGTGTTTCGATTGTGTGGATCATAATAAACTATGAGCAACATTATGAAGAATCAGAATTCCAGAGCATTTAATTGTGCTTATGCAGAACCTATACATTCAAGCTGAACAAGCGGATACTGCTGCACGCTTCAAAACCTGGAAAGATGTGCATCAAGGTTGTATCTTTTCCCCACACTTATTTATTCTGTATTAGGTGCAAATACCCTGAGAGGCTGGTCTATATTGGAGAAGAATGAGACATCAGGATTCAAAGAAGACACATTAAAAATCTGTAAGATTCAGATGGCACAATCTTTCTTAAAGTGAAGAGCCCTTGAAGTGTCTACTGATGAAGGTGAAAGACTACAGCCTTCTGTATGATTTACCCTTTAACATAAAGAAAGCAAGTGTCTTCACTATTAGACCAGTGAAAAACATTATGTAAAGAGAAAAAAGAATTTATTAAAGATTTCATTTTACTCTACTGCAAAAATCTATGCCCATGGAAATAGCATCACAGAAAAAAAGAAAAAACAACAACAACAAAACAGTGCATGACATTGGACAAATGTGTTGCAAAGCACTTCTTTAAAGGGCTAGACAGCAAAGATGTCACTTAAAGGACCGATATGCACCCAACCTAAATGGTGTTCTCAATCACCTTTTATACATTCACTGAACAACAAATAAGGAAGATCAAAGAACCTGTGCCTTGACATTTTGGTGTTGTCAGTGAAGAAGAATTTTGAATATACTTTGGACAACCAGAAGAACAAAGAAATCTCTCTTAGATGAAATAGGGCCAGAACGCACCTTAGAGGCATGGACAGTAAGACTTCCTGTCCTTTCCCAGCCCCTGAAGGAAGACATCATGCTTAGTCAGTGAGAAAGAGGAAACCTTCAAGCTGATGGACGGACACAGGGGTTGTAACTAAAGGTCTAAAGGCAGCAGTGGTTGTGAGGATGGCGCAGGACCACGCTGGGCTTTGCTCTGGTTGGCTGCAGGGTCACTATTAGTGGACCCAACTTACTGGCACCCAACAGCAACATCAATAACAGCATTGCTATCATGTGTTCTGTACAGGGTACTGGCAGTTAAATCCACTGCTTCCTGATACAGGTCAGAAAACATGCCTTCCACTGCTAAAAGAAGCCTTTGGAAGGCATGAAGAAGCCAGAGAGTCGGCATCCAATTCCCAAATCAATAAGACAGTTGGTTTAATTACTATTGGAAAATGCTTGTCATTCCTCTGTAGCATCTGGTCCCCACTGGACCCTCATCATTTCCTTCACCTGCTCCCCCCACCGACCAAACTGTGCCGCTCTGCAACTGCATCCTGGCCCATCCTCACCCTTCTGCCCCCAACCCTCACCTCCTTGTACCCCCAATATGTTTTTCCCAATAAAAAAAATATTTAAAAAAAAAAAGAAGCCTTTGGGAGTCAATGGAAGTGCAGAAGGACATAAGCCGAAGACATTCCCATGCAGTGGGGTGCCTAATGCATAGCTAGATGAGCTTTCACTGCCTGCCCTTTTTTTTAAGGTTCCCCCCCTTTTTTATTAACTTTAATGAAAGTTTACAGAGACTTGGGGTTTCCAATCATTCATTGTTGCACTTTTCTCCCTGCCCTCCCCCGCTCCCAAGTTCACTCTTCTCCTTGAAAAGTAAAAGAAAAACTCTTTCATTGTTATACAATCCTTTCCCCCAAAGTCCACTCCACTGTGCAGCCTTCATTTTGGACTCCTATTATGACAAGAATACCCATTCATATGTCCCTTGTAAATGGTTCTCTCCCTCATCTGTTTCAATGCAATATGCATCATTCCTCCCCTCCTACTCTGTCTTCCCTCAATCCCAATGTCAGTCCTGTTTTACAACAGTGGCCCTATGCAATATTTGTCCTTTTGTGACAGAGATGTTTCACTCAGCATGATGTCCTCCAGGGTCATCCATTTTGCATAATATTTCATGAGTTCCTTGTTTTTCAATGCTGCATAGTATTCCATTGTGTGAATATACCAGCGCTTCTCTAACCATTCCTTTGTTGATGGGCACTTGGGTTGTTTCCAGCTCTTTGCTATTGTGAACAAACCCTCAGTAAACATGGGTGTGCACACTGCCTGCCTTCTTATACACACACAAATTACCTCAGAAGGTTTAAACTAGCGCAGCCCCCACTGCCTTACTGTGAGCAAAGGGCAGGAGAGAGAAGGAAGAAAGAACAAGAGCAGGAGGGAGACGAAGAAGTGAGAGCAACGCAAGGACCCTGAGCAGGCTGGCTGTTGAGCTGGCTATTTCAGGATGGACATATTGCCCCAATCACTTTCTTCTGGCCTACACTCAATTACTTGCAGATGCCCCATCTCAACTTTCCGTATGCCACACGGAGGGAGAGCTATCCCGTCTAGAGGGGATTCGAACAGTGTGCTTTAGATGCATTTTTGTGCTTGAAGCCTCCCAGCACTTTTGATACTTCCCAACAGCACAAGTGCTTATTCAGTCATTGTACACAAATCTCCTTTCATGTGCTCCACCACACTGCGCAAGGCGCTAGAGACAGGACAGCGGACGCAGGGGAGGGTTCCTATCGAGCGTCCGGTGCCAGTTCCCAGCCGTCGACTCTGTCTGATGGGATCCACCACTGTATCATAGCAGAACTGTGCTCCATAGAGTTTTCTTTATCATTATTATACTAGTTTATCTACAAAATGGGAATACACTGTTTTCCTACCATAGGGTTTTCAAGGGTTGATGTTTACAAAATAGACCTTCTCACTTGTCTACTCTCTCGTGATCTATTATTTCATATTTACAACAGTAAAAACTCCGCACAACCATTTTGCTGTGCCCTGTGACACGGGCTCATTATGCATTAGGATCCCCTTGACAGCACCGAGCAAGCAATAAGACGTCAATTAGCCAAAAAAGGAAAGTCTTATCAGGAAAACTGGGAGGAACTGGAATGTAGCTCAGAGGAAGCCAACCAGATCAAATCTAACATTTCCTCAAGCCAGTGCTCTCCAGAGTGCTATGTGGATGTCACTGGGGTCCGTCATGGTAAGTGGGTCACAGATACCCTGGCTTGCGTTTCAGTGAGTTACTTAGATCTAGAGAAAGCTGCTGAGAGCCCGTGAATGGACTGTGCTGAGTGCTAAACCGAGCATTCACAGGCCACCCCGGGAGGAGGCCCTGCAAACTCTGAGCTCCTGGGAGACGCGACAAAGCAGCTGTGATGCCGAACATGGACTTACCCACACAGGTTGGAAATATGTCTTCATTGTTGATCTGGACTTCGATCCAGTCCATGAGGAGGTTCATGTACTGGGGCGCTGGCAGTGCGGTCGGCTTCTTGTACTTGAGGTCATCCTGCCACCGGTACTCATATTTGGGGCCCCCTGACATGACAGGGCAGGTCCGCTCCGTGCAGAACTCACAGATGGTCCCGTAGATGAGGTTGATGCGATTGAAGAAGTCCACCACGTGCACAGCCACCCAGTCGTTCTGGTCCTCCCCGCTGGGAAGCTGCACTGCCGCCTTCAGGTCCACGCCCGAGTTGAGGGACGCCTGGGCCCGTTTGTGGAGCTCAAACCTCTGGGTGCCAGGCTCGAACTTCCTCTTGGGCCGGAACGTCTTGTCCTTGTTGAACACTTGTTTCAGGGCTATGGACATGGTGGTCGCTTCTGCTTCCTTTCTTTGACAGGAAGCAAAAAGGCACTTGGAACTTTTCAGCGAGAGATCACAGCCCAGCAGGGTTTTCCACTGCCAGCCTTCAGGCCCCAGGCTTGCAGCTTTAAGAAGTTTCTAAACACCCCCTTCCAGCCTTCTCTTGAATGATTTCCAGAGGAACTGCATATTCTTTCCTAAAGGTACAAGAGAAAAGGGGAAATTGTAAGCATCCAGTGTACGTGGAAAAAAATAACAAACTCCTAAACTCCACCGGTCTCTCTACTTCCATTGGGGACACGGACACGGAGGTTAAAGTACTTAGGATTGATGATACAAACTATGCAAAGGAACCAGCAAAGAACCATCCCCATGGCCTTCAGCAAATCTCTGATCTTGAGCTCAGCAGGCCTTTCCTTGGTGTTAAAGATTAACATGCCAGTCAGTGGTCCATCCCTATCCCACATGTTGTCCCCTTACCCTTGGCTCCCACCATCACCACCACCACCACCATCACCACCACCATCACCATCACTGCCTTTCTTGAGTAAATTGCATCAATCATTGGATACAACTGAGAGAAGCAGAAGTGGTGGTCACACCAAGATGGTCAAGAAGCAGCTCTCTGCTGGGGATTTAAAAGCAGGATGTATCTTTTACGGGGAGCCCTGGAAGCAAAGGACATTACATGCTGGGCTGCTAAGTGAAGAGTTAGTGGTTCGAATCCAGCACTCCCCCCACAAGAGAAAGACGAGGCAGTCTCTTGGAGTAAAGATTGGCAACCTTGGAAACTAGATGCAGGGTCGCCATGGGCCAGGATGGACTCGAGGGCTGTAAGTCTGACTTTGGGATTCTTGAAAAGTAGTGGAAAGTGAGCTTGGTTAAGCTCATGGGGAATGGACTTAAGAAAACTAGAGGAGGAAGGAACAATGAGGAAGAAGAGAAGTTGGAATAGGAGGAAGAATTGCTCATCTACAGAGAAACACAGGAACTCAAGTGATCACAGGAAGAGGGAAAGAAGAAAGTGAGGAAGAAGAATAATGGTAGGAAACGGTGTCATTTCTTGGGGCCGAGCTGTTGCCCGTCCTTGGAACACAAGAGTTTTCCAAAACAGTCATGTTGTTTCGGTTCAACGAACCTGAGTGGGTTCTACTTCTCTCCAGGAAATAATAGCATCTGTCACTCCTACAACGTGCTATCCTTTATATTTTTATGATCACATTTTAGATAGTCCTTGGAAGCAGAGCTGTCTCACAGAACTTTCTGTGATAATGCTAATGTTCCACATTGTTATTGCCCAATATGGTAGACACTAGGCAGATGTGGCTATGAGCGTGATAGATGTGAATTTCCCCATTTTATTTAGTGGTAGTTTGAATTACTGAAAATTTGAATGACCATATATGACTAGTGACTACCATATAGGACATTGAAACTTTGGAGTTTTCAATAGGCAACGAGGAGGTAAAATTATCCCTCTATGCTGATGACATGATAGTATACTTAGAAAACCCTAAAGACTCAGCAAGAAAACTATTGGACGT